TTAGTATTAACCCACTAATTTATACGGTATTGTTAATACAGAACCAGAAACAATAAGTTTAGTATTAACCCACTAATTTATACGGTATTGTTAATACAGAACCAGAAACAATAAGTTTAGTATTAACCCACTAATTTATATGGTATTGATAATACAGAACCAGAGATAAAAGGTTAGGATTAACCCAATAGTTTAAATTCTACCACTTATATTTTTTTAGTCACACATAAAAACTGAAAGATTTGTACCTTTCCACAGTAGCTAATGTACAATGTCCTCAGCTGTAGACTTGTAGAAAGAGACTCCAAAGATAAGTCTGTTACTCCCTCATTACAACCAGAAATGTCCAAGTATCTTCAGACACGAAGAAAATTATTTTATCTATGTAGTTGTAACATTTTATGGTTAAACAGGTTATTTTAATAAAATATGGATACTTGTGATGAGTTTATAAATGGTTCTAAAAGTGTAACATTTAAAACTTATTACAGTTCTCTCAAAATACTAAATGCTGTCCAACAGGCCATATACATCATTTGGTTCTGTTTCCACAACATTTCTTTAATGCATCAAATAGTTAATATTATAAATTGTGCCAAAAATAGCATCTGCTAAATAGTTGAAATATATATCACTTGGTTTAGATATATTATGTCTGCAATGTAACAGAAAAACACAATCATCCTTTCCAAATTACAACTACCTGACAAATGTACAGGTAGAATACTTTGTATTATTCAGGTATTTCAGTACTATATCATAAAATCAAACAATTTAGTTGATTTAAATATTTTCCCTATAGGTTTGCAGTAGACTATTATGCACAATACTATGTCATATTCCATTAGATGATTGTGATATCACACCTGTACTTACCTAAGCTTTTCACAACCATGGCTGACAGCATCAATGACATCATCATTTACAACAGCATTGTGAGATAGAGAGAGCTCTTCCTGAACAGGGAGAAAAAAAAAAAGAGAAAAACAATGATTGCAGTAAACTTACACATAACTTTAAAAACACACAAAAGTTACAGATACTATGTAAGAACTGAAACGTAATGCATTTTTCTACATTAAAAGATTCTTGATACCTTCAACATGTATAATTATACATTTTATAATTTGAACTTTGTGCTTTACATATTTTTCCAGTAATTTAACACAAACATTAATAAAATTTGTGAAAAAAGTGCTACTCATTTTTAATATTAGCTCAACAGGTACAGGGTCAGTCAATTGGACTTCCCTAGTATTAGAGAATTAATGTTCACTATAATTCCAAATGTATTCAGTGTATCTTCATGAAATTTGGTAAGCTTTTAGTAAACATCACAATTGTGTTGTACACATAAAATAAGAACTTTTAATAAGTATTTCCACTAAAGACTTGTCTCTGAACTTACTTAAGTCAGTCTAACTAGTCTGAATGCAAGATGATTTTTCATGTTAAGAATAAAGATACTTTTTTTTAATTATAAAGTTTTCAAATTTCATCTGCATAGCCCCTAAAACATTATAAATGAATATCAAAAGTTTTATTCAGTAAAACTTCATATTTTATCTGTTATTTTCTCTACCTTAACTCTACATTTTACTGACCTTGTAAACCAGCACAAAAAAATATTAAATAAATCTAAGCTAGCACTTTTTCTTTTTAGAATGACATTTTGTAACAGAAAATTACAATTATTTATCTTAAATAGCCTCAGGTTTGAAAAAATATACATCTGTTTTTGTTTAATTTTATTGTTTTATTGCTCTTTAAGCTAACTACCACAAACAGAAATAAATCACTCAACGAGAGTGCAGAGAGTTTAGGCTAAAACAATTTTATGTTACACCACGCAGCTAACTATGTATGTTCTTTGTGCATTACTTGAGGCAAAAAATGCTTTTATTTATATTTAACTTTTTTTTTTATCTAACCTACTAAGTTCTTAATTTTTACATTTTAGCTGCTTTTGTTATAAAATATATATCAATAAAAATATATGTAATAAATAAGAAATTTAGCACTTCATAAGTGCGGCCTTTGTCTCTCAGAGGCTGATCAACATTAAACCTAAAATTTAAGTTGACTGTCAAAAAGAATAATTCATTTAGCTTTCAAATATGCATTTTAAACAGGAATTCAGATACAAAACAGAAGGTCCCAAACTACTATAATTTATCTGGCTTTCTAACTAACCTATAAAAATGTTTAAACAATTTTATATCAGACTTCAGTATCCAATAAAATCTGCTTGGGAAATGGAACATTTTACAAAAATAAATTTATATAAAGACATAGGTCATTTTGTGAAGTACATGATTATTTCTGTTTGTTACAAACATGTACCACTGACAAGTAATTTCAAAATCATGACAATCTGGTAGGAGATTTTGTGGTGAATGTAAAAAAAATTTATCAGTATCTCAGAATATAAAGGTAAGAGGTTTTTATCTTAAATTATGGTCTGTCAATAGCTATGGTTAGTGTATCTATTTGATGGACATTCTGAAACATATTTAATGAAAGAAACAATATCTAAAACAGAGAATTCATAGAAAGAGGCAATATATGACACACAGAAGTGAAGATTGAGTATTTATTTAAATAGTTCCTTTTGAATTAAAAATTAAAACATATATATTACTAAAATTTGAATTACAAGTTATGTTTTAATGCCAAGTATATTGACATATATATATATATTGATAATCAAGTAGTTTAATTACATTTTGCGTGTACTTTTGTAAAAGTTGTTACATTCACACTTTGACCATCACCCATGCACATAAGAATTAACAAAATGAACAGAATTTTAAAAATGCACTGATATTCAGAAAAAGTCATTCATACAGATGTAGAGTATTTAAAAACTATAAACATTATCCCAATACAGTCAAAAATATTTAAATTAAGAAAAAAAAAAACTCACCAAATTTTGAAGCCTTCCAATATGACATAAACCAGAAGCTGACACTGTCAAAAAAATGTATTAAATCTTTTAAACTAAAATTTAAAACCAGGATTTAAATTTAATAACCAAGTTCTAGATATCTCTAACATCTTAAAATGTCTGTAAAATCTAGAAATGTCAAGTTACATAAATCTAGGTAACTTTTACCAGTCTCAGTCATCTATGGGTCTCTTGTAACTTCTATCTCTTTGATAAATCCACAGATTTTTGTAACATTTAAAGGTCTGTAACTTCTATATGCCTTTGTTACATCCAGATCTTTGCACAATGAATCTATATTGGTAACTTTTACTTGTTTAAAGTGAAATACTCTTTAACCAAATTGCTTTTAATGAATAATTTTCATTATTTGCAGAACATCTAAGCTTTAACTATGCAATGGAATGACATTTATTACTCTTGGCATCTTCTCTTTTTATATTAAGGGTTAATATTATAGTCTCTATAATAAGAAATCACATTCTTCTTATACTAATTATGATATTTTATATTAACTATAATATATTAAATTCTGTAATAAAAAGTTTTATTGGCTCGCATAACATTTCCACATTAATATTGCTTGTTTTGATGCTTACAGTAATTGACAACATAAAAGTATTCAAAAATCATGGTTCACAGACACTGTCATACAATAATGTCAAAATTGTCACCAACCTGGAGCTTTAAAACCCAAACTCATATTTTTCAGCATATAACAGAAGTGTCTTAAACCAGGAGTTGATGATAAAATCACCACTATCAGCATGTGAATACAAGTATAATCAACCGGGAACTTATAATAAACAAAATAACCAGTGGAGCATGTGATAAAAGCAATCATCAACCTGGAACTGAGAGTAAAAAAAATCTCCACTACAGTATGTGATACATGTAAATATCAAGTTGGAGCTGATGCTAAACAAAATCTTCAGTGTAGCATATGGCACAAGTAATTATCATCCTGAAACTGATAGTAAAAACAATCTCCAGTGTAGCATGTGATACATGCAATTATCAACCTGGTGCTGATAGTAAACAATTTCCACTATAGCATGTGATAAATCATTAACTTGTAGCTGAGAGCAAACAAAATCTCCACTGTAGCATGTAATACAAGTAATTATCAACCTAGAGCACTAGAAACAAAATCTCCACTGCAGCATCTGATACAAGTAATTAACAACCCTGAGGAGATGCTAAACAAAATCTCCACTGCAGCATCTGATACAAGTAATTAACAACCCTGAGGAGATGCTAAACAAAATCTCCCCTGTAACATGTGATAGAAGTAATTATCAACCCTGAGGAGATGTTAAACAAAATCTCCATTGTAGCATGTGATAGAAGTAATTATCAACCCTGAGGAGATGTTAAACAAAATCTCCATTGTAGCATGTGATAGAAGTAATTATCAACCCTGAGGAGAT